ACATTTCTCAGCGCAGGTTGACAAAGCGTCCTGCACGGACCCCTGTCCGTCCGTAATGTGGTGGGAGCCAGGATGGGTGGGTGGAGGGGCAGAATGTTGGGCGTAGTGGGTGGGGGTGGCAGAGTGGGTGGGTGGGTGGGGGGCCGTAGTGGGTGGGCAGGGTGGGTGAGTGGTTTGGGAGAGGGGGGGACAGGGGGGGTGGGGCACTATAACGCTCGGACGAATCGATCGGAGACGCATCGCCCACATCGTCGCCCAATAAATATGCAAACGCGGTGTGACCTTCAGGCTGCTCGCGAGCTCCCCCCCCCCCCATACCGTGAAGAAAACTCCGCCGCCGCGTGTCGGAGAGCATTTCGGATTCCGTGCTTAATACTGGACGTCTGTGAAAAAGAGCTTCATAGCTCATCGGATTCCTCCAGTAATAATCAATATTTCGATTCTGATTATAGTTCCCCCCCCCCTCCACCACCACCCACTAGTACCGCCGTCACGTGATGGAAGAATCCAAAATTCCACGCGGAAATCTCTCCCACGGCGGTGCATGGGCCCCTTCCGTTGCGTTATCAGGGAACGAGCCCGCAGAAGCGGATGTCGCAGAGCTACTGCTGAGATCGCTGCCTCTTGCAAGTGACGCTCTGGTCGATACACATCAGAGGGCAGCTCTCTCGCAACTGCCCTGCCACCGAGAGTAATGTTCATTGTGTGATGGGCAACCCGTTGATCTTTAACTGTCAGAGATAGAGTCTTTCCCAAGTTAAGTGCAGGGCCAACGTGGATGCAATGGTTTTCATTTTTGTGCAGTCGTTCGTGGCCGGGCTGGGAATGTCCACTCACTACACTTTACTCAGCACTCGGTCTGTGTGAGTCAATGGGTCCCTATGGGTCACTGCATTACATTAGTCTGTGGGTCTCTATGTAAGTCTGTGGGTCACTGTGTGAGTCATTGGTGACCGGTTTCCAGAATGTCCACTCAACTCCATTTCAACCCTGATTGGAACCCAGCCTCTCAGCGGTGTTGGGCTCAGTGTCTCTGACCTCTGAAATGGGTGCAAGTGCTGTTAGCGAGCACCTATTAAGGGCAGACACGCACACAAGGACATGGTGTGCCCAGCGCAGATCTGGTGGTGGCCTTCATTCTAATTGGATCTCAATTTCAGAGGGGAGGGGCCGAGCCAAACTCATCCTCGCAGCTCTTGAAGCTTATCCCAAGACGACGGCTCGGCACGGCCCGCGTCTGACTTTTTAACGGGCGTGGAAACGCAGCAACGACCCTTCCGCCTCTCTCTCACGCGCGCTCTCCGCCCGTTCTGTCTCCCTGCGTTTCGTAGAGTCCTAATGAGCCTTCGTCTGTCGGTCCCTCCACCCCTGGGTGTGTGGCATCACGGTGGTGTAGTGGTTGGCGCATTGCGGGCCTTGGAACCAACCGTGACCCGAGTTTAATTGCCTATAACCACCGCCTATGATGGTGACGTGTATCAGAACCGTATTGCGGGCCTCCCCTCGGTCGACTCGGCCTCAAATAAGTAACCTGGGTGGGGATGCTTCAACATCAGCACGGGGGCGACAGCGGTGGCCGGGCGTGGTGGTGGTGGCTGCCATGTGCAGTGTTATGACTCGGGCCTGTGGAAGGATAGATTTAGAACTCCGGGATCGTTACGTGGCACCGTTGAGGGGAGGGGGAGCGAGGAAGGGGGGGGAGTGTGGGTGCCATAGTTTACATGGAGTGCTCTTGAAAATAACATCTGTTAATTCAGAAGGATTTGTTTAAAGCCGATTAGCTAACCCTGTATATGTAAACACAAATATAAACGTGCGTGTGTGTGTATATATTTAATTTGTATGCAGAGACACGAATTGGAGTTCTACTCATGTTTGCCTTTTACCTAAAATGCCCTGCGACGACGCGCCCGCGGCCTAACGCTCGCCGCCTCCTTCGGCGCGTTCGTCAAGCCGAGCAGGAGTGGTTCTTGATGTCGAGCCTGGCCTCATGGTCAACGTGGGGCCTGACCTCACGGTCAACGTGGGGCCTGACCTCACAGTCAACGTGGGGCCTGACCTCATGGTCAACGTGGGGCCTGACCTCACAGTCAACGTGGGGCCTGACCTCACGGTCAACGTGGGGCCTGACCTCATGGTCAACGTGGGGCCTGACCTCACGGTCAACGTGGGGCCTGACCTCACAGTCAACGTGGGGCCTGACCTCACGGTCAATGTGGGGCCTGGCCTCGTGGTCAACGTGGGGCCTGACCTCACGGTCAACGTGGGGCCTGGCCTCGTGGTCAACGTGGGGCCTGACCTCACGGTCAACGTGGGGCCTGACCTCACGGTCAACGTGGGGCCTGGCCTCGTGGTCAACGTGGGGCCTGACCTCACGGTCAACGTGGGGCCTGGCCTCGTGGTCAACGTGGGGCCTGACCTCACGGTCAATGTGGGGCCTGACCTCACAGTCAACGTGGGGCCTGACCTCACAGTCAACGTGGGGCCTGACCTCACGGTCAACGTGGGGCCTGGCCTCGTGGTGAACGTGGGGCCTGGCCTCGTGGCGAACGTGGGGCCTGGCCTCGTGGTGAACGTGGAGCCTGGCCTTGTGGTGAACGTGGGGCCTGGCCTCGTGGTGAACGTGGGGCCTGGCCTCGTGGTGAACGTGGGGCCTGGCCTCGTGGTCAACGTGGGGCCTGACCTCACGGTCAACGTGGGGCCTAACCTCACGGTCAACGTGGGGCCTGGCCTCGTGGTGAACGTGGGGCCTGGCCTCGTGGTGAACGTGGAGCCTGGCCTCGTGGTGAACGTGGGGCCTGGCCTCGTGGTCAACGTGGGGCCTGGCCTCGTGGTGAACGTGGGGCCTGGCCTCGTGGTGAACGTGGAGCCTGGCCTCGTGGTGAACGTGGGGCCTGACCTCACGGTCAACGTGGGGCCTGGCCTCGTGGGGCCACAGCATGGCCGTAAGAGCCTCGCTCAGTCCTAGAGGCACAAGCGAGACGCGGCGGCGGGCTGGCGGTGACGACTGAGCCGTGTCCCAATCTGCGCTGGGCAGCCCCTAGGTCCAGCTCGGCGTAAAAATGTTTCCTTTTTTTGGTGGGGAATATAACGGCGGTGGTGGGACGGGGTGGAGGGGGGGTGCACGTGGGAAGATCGCGTTACATAACCCTGCTCGCTGATCCTCCCTCCTCTTCCACACTCGCCCCACCCCACTACTGTCCCCTCTCCCCGCTGATCTGCTCCCCCACTCCCATTCCTTCACTATCCTTCACTATCTCCCACCCTCGCTCGCTCCCCCCCCCCCCCCCCCCCCCCCACTGTCCCCACTCCACTTACTCCCCGACTCTTCCCGTTCGCCTATTCTACCACTACCATATTCCCCACTCTCCCCACGCATGTCACTCTCCCTCCCACTCTCTCCACTCTCCACACTCTCTCCGCTCTCCCCACTCGCACCACTCGCACCACTCTCCCCACTCTCCCCACTCACGTCACTTTTACCACTGACACCACTCTCCCCTACTCACTACTCCCCCTCCACTCACATCGCTCTCCCCACTCTCCCCACTCTCCCCACTCACACCATTCTCCCCACTCTCCACACTCTCTCCGCTCTCCCCACTCGCACCACTCGCACCAATCTCCCTCCACTCTCCCCACTCTCTCCACTCACGTCACTTTTACCACTGACACCACTCTCCCCTACTCACTACTCCCCCTCCACTCACATCGCTCTCCCCACTCTCCCACTCTCCCTCCACTCTCAACTCGAGCACCAAAGCCCTGGCACTCCCCAGATCGCGAACTCTGTCACGGCCCCATCACTCCAGCTATAGCCTCATAGTAACCAAACCTCCAGCCTTCGCTCGAGCACTAGCCTTGCACCTAACCATCAACATTGATTTTATTAAGTTAATTCAAATATTGCACCGGGAAAAAAATGAATCCCTGGGATGGACACGTCTCATCTGCAAGGGTGTCCAGGGTGTCGATTGACGTGAACAGTGAACTCGTGATGAAAATCCCCCACCCCCCCCCCCCCCCGCATAGCCATAGCAAACCGTTAGGGAAAGTGCTGTTAGTGAGCGCCTATGAAGGCCGTCACGACACACGAGTGGGTGGGTGGGTGGCTAGCACCACGCCCAGCCGCCTTTGTCTCCCCAGTACTGATGTTTGCAAACTGCACCAAGCACTCATTTAAGGTCGAGCCGATAACGAACCTCGAGACTCGGTGAGGGTCTCCGACGTCAATAAATTGCGTCCGTTTCACTCACTGGTTTTCGTCAGTGTCGCTCTCCATGGTCCTGAACCAACCAGTGTAACTCTCCATGGGCCTGAACCAACCAGTGTAACTCTCCATGGGCCTGAACCAACCAGTGTAACTCTCCATGGGCCTAAACCAACCAGTGTAACTGTCCATAGCCCTGAACCAACCAGTGTAACTCTCCATGGCCCTGACCTCACCAGTGTAACTCTCCATGGTCCTGAACCAACCAGTGCAACTGTCCATGGTCCTGAACTTACCAATATCGCCCTCCATGGCCCTGACCTCACCAGTGTAACTGTCCACGGTCCTGAACCAACCAGTGTAACTCTCCATGGTCCTGAACCAACTAGTGTAACTGTCCATGGTCCTGAACCAACCAGTGTAACTGTCCATGGTCCTGAACCAACTAGTGTAACTCTCCATGGTCCTGAACCAACCAGTGTAACTGTCCATGGTCCTGAACCAACCAGTGTAACTCTCCATGGTCCTGAACCAACCAGTGTAACTGTCCATGGTCCTGAACCAACCAGTGTAACTCTCCATGGTCCTGAACCAACCAGTGTAACTGTCCATGGTCCTGAACCAACTAGTGTAACTCTCCATGGTCCTGAACCAACCAGTGTAACTCTCCATGGTCCTGAACCAACCAGTGTAACTGTCCATGGTCCTGAACCAACCAGTATAACTCTCCATGGGCCTGACCTCACCAGTGTAACTCTCCATGGTCCTGAACTTACCAATATCGCTGCCCATGGTTCTGAAGTCGCCAGAGTTACTGTCCATGCTCCTCAACTCAAGAGTGTCGCTCTCCATGGTACTGAACTCATCATTGGCGCGCTGTACGTGGTCCTGAACCCGTCAATGTCACTGTCCATGAATGGTGAATGTGGCCGCCCCTGATTTCTGCAAAAGGGTCGTCCTGTGAACCGGTTCCAGCAGATGCACGGTTCGGTCCTCGCACTCGCGATCTGACGTGTGCGTGGCTTGGGTTGTGGATCGATACCGATCGGGTCGATGCAGCGATTCAGCCCGAACCCATCAGGAACACGCGCAGGAAATCCCCTAATAGGCTCCTATCCATTAGGCGATTGCATTTGAGCCGGAGACAGGGCCTAATTAATTCCCGATCAGATAAGATCACTGAATGACTGTAAAGGACGCTCGGGGGCTCAGGTCAGGGTGCAATGGCAGTTGTCCCCTAACCCCTACCCCCCCCCTCCCTCCTTATTTCCATATAAATGATGTCGGCATAGAAACCCGTAGATTCGCACAGAGACTCATAGATCGTCTCTATTGGTGAAGGGGAAAGATGGGTGTGGGGCTCGAATGGAATGGAAGGAGCTCGAGCGGTAAGAGAAAAACAAAACCGACCTCGTACCGGGGTGCGAACTGGGCCGCGTCGGAGCGAGCGGCTGGCGGCGTGGGCGCCGTCACGGCTCTGTGACGTCAGCGCGGCTCTTTGACCTCCGACGACGATGACGACGGAGAGGGGAGGGGAGGGGAGGCGAGGTCGATACGTTTCCATTCGTCATGGAATTAAAAGATGAAAAGTTGCATTTGTGTAATCAGACGTCGATTCCCCGCCCGGGGCGGCGGGGTCACGTCTCGTTAGCGGAGGCTGAATCGTTGTAATGAGCGAGCGAGCGAGGCAGGTAGCAGGCGGTGCCGTCGGGGTCGCGCCTGGAAGTGCCCCACCCCGCCCCCCCCCCCCCCGCCGCCCCCCCCCCCCCCCCCCCCGCCGCGCCCCCCCACCGCCTCTCGTGAGGGGGGAGGGAGTAGATCCGTATGGATCACGGACCCCGGATCATTTTGCACGCCCTCCGCGATTGTTGTGACAGAGCGAAGCGAAGGAGGGTTACAGACGCATGCACGCGAGCGTGTGGCCCGCAGTCCGGCGCCGTGGCGGAGGAGGCGGTGAGGGTCGGTGGATCACCGCGCTCCCGCTGCGACTCTCCAAAGTCGTGGGCGTCGAGGAGGATACCGTAATCCCGGCTCGCCCGGAGAAGGCGCTACGGCAAAGTGTGGGCTGGCCCTTCTGTATGGGATAGTGTTTCATCCTTGCACGCGTGTGTGTGTGTTTTTTTTTCCCATCGCTCCAGTTTCCTTCCACACGTAAACACCCATTAATTGGTCAATAACTCCTCCGTGTATAGAGCACCGCAGAGCTAGGAGTGGGGAGAGGTGGAGTAGGAATTTTGTTGCGTCTCTCCGCGTGGCAGAGGTCGCAATTGGGTACCCGATACCCATACCCGGCCGGGTACGGGTATCCGTTTGCGACCCTAACGAAGTTCCCGCTCGTGTGTGGTTCCTCCTCCTGCGAGTGAACGTTGTGGCGGTGGCACAGCGCTACAAGCTGACACCACCGTTACTACGCTCGGAGACACGGAGAGGGGCGCAGACGTAGATGGCGACACCGATGACGATCGATCCTCGTGGCCTTTGCGAGCGGCCTTCGTCAGAGTCCAAGAAACACGTGGCCTAGTGCAGCCAGAAGGACTTGCGTGGACTCGCACACAGACCCGCAGAGTCGAACAGAGACCCACACTCGCACAGAGACCCGCAGAAAACCTGGGGAGTCGTAATATTTCCTGGAGATTCGTGGGCGTTCTCATAGATCCACAGACTTGAATAGAGATCCACAGACTTGAATAGAGATCCATAGACTTACATGGATACCCATAGATCCTACGTAAAAAAACACACGCATAAAGACTCATAGACTTGCACTGAAATCTGTAGACTTGTTTATAGACCTACACAGAGACTCGTGTATTTTCAGAGATCCATAGACATACATAAGGGGTGGATACACTTACAGAGATCCGCAGGCTTACACAGATAGCCATAGACTTACACCGAGATCCATAGACTTTGCATGGAAATCCATATACTTACACAGAGGTCCAAACACTTACATATAGATCCACATGCTTACATGGATACCCATAGACTTACGCAGAGATCCAAAGACTCGCGTATAGATCCATGTACATACACAGAGACCCATGGACTTTCACGCAGAATTATCGACTTACATAGAGATCCGTAGACTTACATGGAGACTCTTGGACAATTTAATTGTTCGTAAGCTGAATTTTTTAAAAACAAATACATAAATATTAACATTTTTACGTGCTAGTACAGAGCTGTGCTTTATTTATTAACGCGTTAATCGTCCAAGAATACCCCACACGAGTGCTAAACAAAGTTGCCGTTAAGATATGAGCAGCCCTGCAATTCCCTGCTCAAGCCACTGCTGGAAGAAGGATGCCATCTGCGAGAGGATTCTCTGGAGAATCCGCCCCGCCCGCCTCCCCCTGCAGGGTGTCCATGGCCTACTCTTCCACGCTGGCCAGGGCAGTCTTTGGAAGGGGGTTGGGAGTCACCCCCCCCCCCCTAACATTTTGCCCCAAGACCCGCACCGTTGACGAAGCCGCTCTCGACATTGACGCTGCGGGGTTAGGAAGGTGGCGAGGCAGCGGGGGGGTGGGGGGCGGGTGATTTAGGAAACTCGCCGCATCGTTGTAAACCCGCCGCGCCGGGAACATTGAATCGAACTGCCGACCTCTGGATCGTTTGACCTCCAACTCCACTCTAAAACTAAACTGCTTTTTATTTTTACAGGCGAGGCCCACTGAGCTACGAAGCTCTTTCTTAGATGCGACCTGAACATCGCAAATTGAGGCTCAGCGGAGGTGGAAATTTAAAGCAGCAGCATGCAAATTACTACGAACCGCGGGATGCTGATTCTCAACGTGGAGGGAAAAGCCAGAGTATCCACGCGATCACGGGGAGAGACACGCAAACTGCCAAATAAACATCAGCAGGCGTCAGGGTTGGGATCGAACCCACGGCCTCCTGTATAGCAGGCGAGGTAGTTAACATCTCCTAGCCACCGTGATGATGAGAGAGAGAAACACGCAAACCGCCAAATAAACAGCAGCAGGCGTCAGGGTTGGAATCGAACCCACGGCCTCCTGCATAGCAGGCGAGGTAGTTAACATCTCCTAGCCACCGCGATGATGATGAGAGAGAGAAACACGCAAACTGCCAAATATACAGCAGCAGGCGTCAGGGTTGGGATCGAACTCGCGGCCTCCTGCATAGCAGGCGAGGTAGTTAACATCTCCTAGCCACCGTGATGATGATGAGAGAGAGAGACACGCAAACTGCCAAATATACAGCAGCAGGCGTCAGGGTTGGGATCAAACCCACGGCCTCCTGCATAGCAGGCGAGGTAGTTAACATCTCCTAGTCACCGTGGTGCCACTCACATCCACGTGGCAATGGCAGAGAGGTGGAGAGAGAGAGTAGGCGGGAGAGCGAGAGGTGGAGAGAGAGAGAAAGGAAGAGAGAGTGGCTGGGTGAGGGAGAAAGGTGGAGAGAGAGAGAGAGAGAGGAGGGAAGAGAGGGTGGGAGAGAGGAGGTGGAGAGAGAGGGAAGAATGGTGGGGGGTGGGGAAGTAGTGAATATATAATATAATTAATGAGTAATCTCTCAGACTGCTCGTGGGTGAATGACTCTACGAGGGAGGGTCATCCAGACGAGCGTCACGTCACCTGGCCCTCTTAGCAACCATCCCGACTCCATACGCTCCTCAATAACACCGAGGCACTGATAGTAACACAAATGTATAATGTAGACGACTTCTTGGTTCTTTCGGTAAAGTCACGTAGAAGGGAAGTAATAAAACAATAAAAAATAAAACATAATAAACTTATATAATATAATAATATATTTTTATTATTTTATAACTTCCCTTCTACGTGACTTTACCGAAAGAACCAAGAAGATGAATCCCTGCAGTCACGAAAGCTTTAAATCGAAATGTAGACGACGTTTCGGGCTATGGTCCTTCTTCATAGCACGTGCACAGAGAGGCCAGACGAGAGACTTCGAGTTGGAACGGAGGTCTTAGACTGCACCATTCACGCCACATACACCACGAGGCCCTGGCAGGCTGGGTGTCTAGATTATTGTGCAGGATGGCAGCAGCAGCCGCCAAATTTTCAGGATCTCGATGCCAATGTCGCGGTCTTCTGCTGGCCACGACGAGAGAGGGCTTCAGCAGTGAGAGAGAGTTCGTGTCGTGTCGCTGTTCCTCCTCCTGCGTTGATGTGAGCGCCGGCCACGGTGCGTTTGACGTGCACGGTCCAGAGTGTGGGTTGCGTGGCCCGCAGTCGCACTGCTGCGGCGCCTTCGAGGGAAGAATAACCAAAGGTGCAATGTTTGGGTCTAAAATGTGGCGTTTGTTAATTCCGTTTTGACGCGCGTCATTCATGCGAATTGCATCTCACGACGCTGTACAATAATAATGATATGCATAATCACATTTAGGGGCGTAATCCTATTTCGGGCAAGTTATTCGGTGAGCAAGTGAAACTCCCTCGGGAAGCAAAACAAATGAATGGACAAATCTAAGAGATGGTTTGCAACGCCGATGGCTTATGAACAACAGCCGTAAAAGGTATCACGAGAGAGGTGTAGAAAATGCGGTGTTATGGTACAAAGGTTCTGGCCAGAGGTCGCAACCGGGTACCCGATACCCGTACCCTACCCGATACCCGGTTACCCGTACCCAGCCGGGTACGGGTATGGGTACCCGTTTGCGACCCTGGTGCGGCCGGGTACGGGTAGACCGTGAGTCACTGGTGAGTAACTGTTTGTCACTCATTTCCCAACGTCTTGTGTCTTCTCACAATTCAAGTTCCTAGAATCAACCCACCCGCGCCTGCAACATGGCTTCATCCCAGAGGTCGCAATCAGGTACCCGATACCCGTACCCTACCCGTACCCTGCCGGGTATGGGTAGGGTACGGGTACGGCCGGGTACGGGTACGGGTACCCGTTTGCGACCCTGGTGCGGCCGGGTACGGGTAAGGAATCAAAACCCGTTTGCGACCTCTGGTTCTGGCTCTTGGCTCCTGCGCACTTCGGCGAGGGCGATCGGTCCACTCGGTGGACCGATCGCCCTCGCCGATCCGTGGGTGTCGTTGAGTTGCCGGCTGATTGTTTGACGGGCTCGCGAGTGCGGCGCAGTGGAAGCCGTGAGACGTGATGGTCGGGATGATGATGATGATGATTCCTCAACGTGTGTCTCTCTCCTCCACTGGCCGGTATGACCCGCATGAGTGAGCGTGAGGGCGAGAGAGGGGGGGGGGCGGCTGGACAGGCCTCTCGACTCGTTATGACACTGCAAGATTGCCGTGTGTGCCCGTGCGTGCGTGTGTGTAAAGATGAGTGGGGTTGTTGTTGTTGTTGGGTAGGACATTGTGGGGAACCGATAGTGTGTTGTGATTTAGCGCACTGCACTACGAACCCGACCAACACAAGTTCGATTCCCACTCGCAGCCAACGTCGGTGGCGAAAATATTCACTGGTCCTGGGCCTCCCCCAGGTCGACTCAGCCTTAAGTGAGTACCTGGTACGGTGTGTAAAGATCGCCACTGGGGAGACAAAGGCGGCCCGGCAAGGTGTTGGCCACCTGCCCCATCGTGTGCCATGCCGGATTTCAAATGGTGTTGGCGCTGACAGTACTTGCCCCGACAGTCTGTCCAGGCTATACGGATGGGGGGGGATCTTTGTCTCTGTGGGACTGGGTGGATGTTTGGCGCCGTCGTGTCTCGGCCAGGCTGATTATGGCCGTGTTTATGAGTCTATCACACACACACACCACACCACACACGCCCTGTATGCGGGGAGTCGTGGCACGGTGATTGGCAGCACTGGGCCACCGACCCAAAGAACCGAGTAGGACTCACGCTCGCATCCGACCATCGGTGACGAATGTCAGAACTGTATCCTGGGCCTCGGACAGGTCAACTCGGCGGAAAGTGAGCACCTGGCGCGGCGCGTAGACATCATCATATCGTCGCTGGGAAGACAAAGGCGGCCGGGCGCGGTGTTGGCCACCAACCCCCTCGTGTGCCGCGCTGGTCTTCAGAGGTCGAGACGCCCTTGAAAAAGAGCCTCTGAGCTCAATGGGGGCTTTACTCGGGGGAAATAGATTCCTGATTATTGCGCTGTGCTCACGAACAGCACTTGCCCCAACGGTCCGTTCAAGGCTATACGGGGGATCTTTGTCTTTTGGTGAGAAGCTCTGAGCCATAAGGTGATGGGCGTGCACCTTGGACTGCATGGTTATCACCGTGAGCTGAGCTCATTTTGACTCCTCCGATGCGATTAATCGCTCCAGCGACAGAGGCATCGTCAGCTCGTCAACAACCGAACGGCGCCGGCAAACAGATGCCAGTGCGGTGATAAGGGTTCGGCAGAATTGGTGGAGCATTCAATGTAGGACCACAGAACTTGGGCAATTTGTTGAACACACCGGTTCTGGCTAAACTTCCCACTTCGTCCGCGGATTCCTGTGTCTCCGAGTAATTCTGTACTTTCTTTAAATCATTCTCTACTCTCTGAATCATTCCGTTCTCTGTCTCTGAATCATTCTCTCTCCTTGAGAGTGGACGCAAACTGACGCGTAAAAAAAGCGAATTCTGATTTATTACGATGTTTTTCCTGTTGTTATTTTTGCCGCCACGTAGAGACTTGCGTTGAACCTTCCAACCCACTTGGCTGCGAGGCTCTGTTGGCGGGCCAGGTTGATGACGGCAGTACAGCAAGTGGGTTTGTTTTCCCCTGTCGTGCACGTAGGAAGGGGGGGGTGGGTGGTGGGGGTGGTGGTGGTGGTCTATTCTGTGCTGCACGGTGTTTGCGCGGCAGTGGGATTGGCCTTTCGGAGCTGGGATGGATGCTGGGGTTTCTCCGGGTTGTCCGGGTTCCTCCCATAACGAAGCCAAACTCTCGTTGATTTCAAGAAGGTTGGGGGGGGGGGGAATTGGCCGATCAACCCAGTGTAGCAGGACCCTCCCGAGAAGAGAACTTGAGACTCGGTGTGATGATGGTGTCCTTGATAATCAGACTACTTGGTTCTTAGTTGTATCACAGGGTGGCTAGCACGCTGCGCTACGAACCCAGCATCCCAAGTCCCATTGCCGGCCCACGGCTGACATCAGTGGCGAGTGACATCTGAACCCCTCCGGGGGGTGTCCACCAATCAGCACCCAGCACTGACCGGTGAAGTATGGTCGAACAACCCTCACGGCCCACACGTTGGCAGAAATACTTTAATCCAGCGGTGGATTGACAAAGGGCCACAAATAATCACAATTGTTATATCGGAGATGCGGAGGGGAGGTGGCGGGGCGAGGGGGGGTGGCTTCACCGTGCCTCAAGCTGCACGGTGAATCTGTCTTCGCGGGGGGCGGACAAATGTGTCGACCGGGAGGGGGTTGGGGGGGGGG